TATTAAATACCACTAAAAATATTATATTACTTTTATTAGCTTTAAAAACTCATGTGGGGTGCATTATGCTTGATTTATCGTGTTTGAGTGTGCAAAGTGCTATTAATTTGATTCGAGGGTGCAAAGTGCCAAAATTGTATATTTCAAGGGTGCAAATTGGGAGTAAGTCATTTACTGTTCATAAGCACACAAACATACACACACTCATATTGGTATGTGTATATCAACGGTAAAACTCCACCCAGCGTAACATTCACCGAGTGTAGCATAGAAACAACAGGCGATCGCCTAAGGCCACTGGAATTTTCAAATATTTAGGGTTACAGATTCTTTTTTCACAAGTTTTCTGTCATTTTCTGTTAATTACTTAATTTTCACCAGTTCACTGAATTTTTGTAGCTAAGTTTTATAAGCTTACTATCAATTCTCAGCTAGATGCAGAAGTTCATAGCTAATTTGTTGCCAATTTCAAAAAAATAGTGCCATATTTTGATTTTTCTGTCAAGATATCAACCAATTCTTGATAGGAAGTGTTTAATTTAGAAGTCCATTATCATTTTTAACCCATTTTCGAAAGTTCAATGTCGTCTTTTGTTATATTATCCAATTTCAGAAATTCACTGTCAATTTTTAGAAGTTTGCTGTCAATTTTTTAGGAGTTAATTCATTGCCAGTTTTCAACTATTTTTCGTAAGCCCACGCCCAAATTTTAACCTATTTTCAAAAGATCATTGACGTTGTATATATGTTAAAATGCTCAATTTTCAGAAGTTCACTTACATCGAAACTCACGATCAATTTTCGGAAGTTCATTGGCAATTTTTAAAAATATCAAAATTTAATTTAGTCCATCATAATTTTATTTTTTTTAGAACAAAATGAAACCATTTTATTAGGCAAAATATGTCAAGTGAATTGGATCATGTACATTAATATGGGCTACGGTGTGGGCTGCTATTCCCACTTCGTTTGACAAAATAAAAACATACAAGAATCAAAATAATTAACAATGTGACGACAATCTTCAATCAGAGCGCCAAAAGATGTCAAATAGCTCTCCAAACTTTTAAGTGCACTAGTAACTTCCATGCAATCATCCTCTTCAACAATAACTGTTTTCCATTCCTTTTCTCGAGCTAACATAAGAGCATGTAACGCCACTCTTGCTTCGCCATTGACAGGTCTCGGTCGGCCGAGAAATTTCCGTACGTTCCACCACACACACTCCCCAGTTGAGTTTTGGCCACTAAATGAAAAACAACTACGTTTGTTGAAGATGGATTTAATTTTACACCGGTTAAAATATAGATTATATAAATATACATCATTGATCCATATACTATATACACCAATTAATATGGGTACACAATGCAATATATGTTGTTGTTTTTATTGCGCACAAATTAAGAAAATTAATAAATGTGCATAGGTTAGAGCAAAAAACATAGGAGATCACAAAAATATCCTTGTGATTAATTGTTTTTCAGTTAATTCATTAAGCGTGATAAATGGTAAAATTGAAAATAGTATAATTAATGATTCATTGGAATTGTAAAGTGATAAATAATTTGGGACAAAAAAAACTCTTCAAAGAGACAATTAATGTGGAATAAAGGGAGTAATATGCAATTTTCAAATTATATAATATATGTGTTTGTGTGCAAGTGTGTGGGATTTAGAATTAGCACCGACAGGAAACAAAGGTGACTTTTAGTGGTTGATCCATCAGTTCATTTACCAACTGCTACCATTCGATCCACAACTCAGTGAGTCACTCGAGCAGTAAAATACGATTTTACCCTTACCAAGAAAAGTGAGATAGCACGACTTCTGCACTATTCATGAATGTCTAAATAATCATAATTTGCAGCCTACTTCAAATTTTTACCTTAAATGGTCAAGAAATGGTGAGAATTCTTAGTCGATGAAATTGAAAATCGAATGAAAGCGCGTTTTAGACGAAAAGTTGGGAAATTACGTTTGGACACATTTTTTTTTCCCTTTTCTTTTTTTTTTGGTAAATACGAAGTCATTACGAACCCTCCCTTGAAGTAAGCCCCCGAGGTATGGTCAATTACGAAAAAACTCTCTTGTTTGGATAATTACATCTATCCCTCACTATGATTTTTTCTTACATCCCCACCCTTATAGTGTCGAATTCAACATAATCATCTAGATTTCATGGAATGTGCTCTAGTTTGTACTTGTTTTGTGTAAAAATACAGTTTCTGATGCACCACAATCTGATATATACAAGCCAAAAAACACATATTATGATCATCTTGCTTCAAAATGTGGAGTTCGAATGCGATAAAACGGGTACAAAAGTGATAATATAACATTCCATGTAATCTCGAAGATTCCACTAAATTTGAAACTGCAAGGGTAGACGTGTAAGAAGATTTATAGTTGAGAGGTGGTTGTAATTAGCCAAACAAGAGGGGGGGTTTTGTAATTTAACCATACATCAGGGGTAGTTGTAATTTACCCTTTTTATTTATTAGGGGGTGAATTGTAATATTTTTCGATAATATAAAATATAGTTGATTTATAAATGTTGCATGACCTATTTCTTTTTTAATAGTTCATTTTCTTTTCCTATCACATTTACATGACATTCTCTAATTGTACATCTCAAATTAGTGCTAAGATTTTGAAAATGAAAATGAAAAGATGATGTATGTAACTTTGATGTTTAACTTTGTTTCCATCAAATTGATCTTTTTATACAACCTTAAACAAAGAAATTTATACATATATGTGAATTGAATTTTTTTTAATCTTCTAATTTGTTTTGGAGAAAATAGAATATAGAGAACTCTTTTAATTTTTAACGCGAAAAAAATCTCTCTATTATATTTAGAAAGTAAAATAAATATCTGAATACCAAGATTTTGGCAATTTTAACTTGTTCAAGAACAATTTAGACATTTCACAATTTTCGTTAAAAAAATTGAACTATCACTAATTTGATGGGTTAAATATAATTTTACAAATAAAATGGGGATTTTTGTTGTTTATACATAGTTTGGGATTATTTGTAATTTAAAATTTCATATTTTTCTTCTCTTTTTCTATTCATGGGCAATTAAGACATTTTAACAATTATGTTAAAAAAAAGGGTAAATTACGGCGACCCCCCTCAGGTAACATCAAACTACGAAAAAACCCCTCATGTTTGGGTAATTACAATCAGTCCCCTCAACAATGAATTCTTACATGCATGTCCAAGCCTATGGTGTCAAATTCAACAGAATCCTCTAGGTTATGTGGAATGTTCTCTAGTTTGTACTCATTTTGTGCAAAAATGCAGTTCATGCACGACAATTTGATATTTACAAGCCAAAAGACACATCTTGTTTCAAAATGTGGAGCTCGAATGGGTAAAACGAGTACAAACTGGAGAATATTCCACATAATTTAGAAGATTCCACTAAATTTGACACCATAGGGTGGACGTGTAAGAAGATTCATAGTTGAGGAGTAGTTGTAATTACCCAAACATGATGAGTTATTTCGTAACTTGATCATATCTTAGAGGGTGGCCGTAATTTACCCTAAAAACATAACGGACCGATTATTTGTGGGGTAGATGTAATTTCGATAACAATAGGGGTTATTTTGTAACTTAACCTCACCTCTGGGGTGTACTCGTAACTCACCCTTTCTTTAAGTTGGTCCCTTTTGTGTTTACTAAAAATAAATTTTAGGTTTTTATAAAGTTTAAGCCAGTATTTTGAAACCCGAACTGGACCGACCGATTGAACCGGTTAAAGTGCGAATTGTTGCCTTACCTAATATGGTTTGGCCGGTTGAATCGTTGAGTTAGAACCCGACTGAAAATCGGATTTCTATGCCCAAAATGGTGCATTTTTTTATTTAAAAAAAATAAACAAATAAAATGGTTGAAACGACGTTCTTTTTACCGTCAAGTTGAAAAAGAAAGTTTCAATCAAATTAAAAAAAAACTCTGAAATTGGAAAACATAATAATATTTGAAGTGATTGGGTTGTGATATGTATGTCGATATATCGTTTGTGTAAAAGAAAAGTACACTTGATTTACGTTTTAATTGGGGGGATTAATAAGTTAATGTGGGTAAAAGAAAGTACGATTTATTTACTATAAAATTAAATATAAATGATTATAAAAAAAATGAAAAAAAAAATCGGTTGATGCCCGGTTGAACCAGTCCAACCATAATCCAATAACTCGTCCGAGTCAATATGCGATCCGGTTTTTAAAACATTATAAGCTTAGAAAATATAGTGGAAAATTAAGATATAGAAAATAGGGCTACGCCGTATTTAAAGGCCGGTATTCGAATGAGAATCGGCCGTATCACACGGTGGCCGATTCACAATGTTTTTTTCCCGATAAAGTGTCGGAGGTAATTGATCAACCAACTCGCTCTAGGAATATTTCGCTGGTCAATGCTACATTTTGGCCAATCGATAGAGGTCAGATCCTTGCAAAAGACAAGATGAAATGGCACTATACGAAGAACGGATATTTTTATGTTCGGACTTGCTACCGTTTAATTTTTGCAATGAGGCAGCGGGCTGACTTAACGAGAAATAGAGGCGCAGAATCGAGTATTGAATCTCACAATTGGAAAGAGATTTGGCAAATTCCTATTCCCCCAAAAGTTCGTTTATTCCTGTGGAGAGCATGTTCGGACATCTTACGCTTTAATCGTGCGTGACTGGAATGGAAATTGCATTTACCGGAAAACACGGAAGTTTTTTTGGCAGGTCACAAGTTACTAATGGTGAAACGCGGACAATACTTAATGCACTGGGACGTATGCAATTACAAAGGGTCGGAGATCGATTATGATTGAAGGAGAAAATATCCGAGTCGTTGAGTCTATTCGGAAAGGAGAATCATATTTATCGTCATATGGGGCGCTCGTCGAATCACGAATGTAACGAGGAATCGTTAATTTATTTGAATTGGGCAAATGTCACGTAATTTAACCGGAAAACGAAATAAAATTTCGTAGAAGAGCAAGCAAGCTTGTGTGCCAAATTGCAATTATAAATTGATTTCTAATTTCTTAATTGATGAAATGAAACCACACCAAGTTAGACTACAGTAATTAAATCCTAATCACATCGAGAAAGCAACATAAATATCAAAAAAAAAAAAACGAAAAAGCCTAATCTACAGAATTTTTTTTTTCGGTCAGACAATTCATCGAACACCTCTAGTTCAATCCACCGCTCTTCGCCAACCGCGGTGAGCTTCTAATCCCGGCAGCAGCAGCCAAAATGGAAGCTCCTATTTTCTGCCCTCCCTTTACCAATTTCTTCTTCCCTTTGCTGATATTTCCCTCACCAACCGCCTCATTCCTCTTACTCCTCGTACGCGCCGCCATAGTACCACCAGTTTCGCCGCCGTCACTATCCGCCTGTTTTACAGGCATCCCACTTTCCCTCGCCACCCTCTCGAAATCATCACCCAATTTCCTCACAGCACCCCTCTTAACGGGCCCCGCCTCTTCTTCTTCTTCCTCCTCGTCCAACAGCCCAACAACGCGCCGCCTCTTAATCGCCACCGGAGCCGCCGGCGGTGAAGGGGTGTCGCCGATCTGGGCGGCGCTGGTTTTATCCTTACCGCCGCCGCGAGAAGCGGCGGAAGATCCCTTGACGGATTTCTTCTCGCTGTTGTGGGATTTCTTGAAGACGGTCTCCCTCTGCGCGCGGAGCCTCTCGACGTTGCCCTCGATCCGGCCCTGGAGGCGGTGGCGCGTGAAGCTAACGCCGCCCATGGACCAGTGGGCCTCGTGGGCCCACTCCATCAGTGGATCTGTGACGGAAGGCGGTGGATCTACCCTCTCGTCGTTGAACTTGACGTCTGTGTAGTAACGCGGCCGTGGCAGGCTGCTGCCGTAGAACTTTCCGGGACCTAAGGCGACGACCATGGCGGCGGCGGCGGTGTGTTTGTGTGAGTGTGTGTGTTTGGGGTTGTAGATCTGCTTTGTATTGTGAGTGTGTGAGAAAGTGTTGTGTGTGGTGCGTGACTTTGTAGTAGGTTGTTTTAGGACTGGTGGCGGGAAAATTGGCGCCTTATGGGAAAGTGTATTAGCGCGCCAAATCTGCTATTTTAAATGAAATTTGGACAATCTCTCGAAAAAGTATCCGAGGAAATATTGAATTTGATTATGGCGCCATATTGAATTTAATTTGGTTCCAAAATAAAATATTACTACTATATTACTAAGGAGTTTTTGTGCATAAGTGTTCAACCAAACATCTATATTATTCTAGGTTTAGGGTTATATCTCTTTCACCAATAAACTCATCCATTTAATATTTATTATAAATAAAGAAAACATTCATGTATATGCCAATATTACCTCCAATCATTTATACCCAATTTTTAATTGTAACCCCAATTTAATCAATTTTGTCCACAAAAATCCAATTTTGATTTTTTTTTTCAAAAAAAACATTTTTGCCGCCGAATTCTGGCGTTGACTTTTCGATTTTTTTTCTTCTGGATTTTTTGTCGATTTCCGGCGTTGATTTTTTTTTTCTGGTTTGTTTTTTTCCGCCGCCTGTCTCCGGCGCTATCTTTTTTTAGTGTTTTTTTTTTTTTTTTTTACGTCCGCCGCTAAACGTTGACCGTAATTGTGCTGTCACTTATAGTAAATTAACATAATTATACTGTCAATAACAGTTAATTAACGTAATTGTACTGCCGTTGACAGTAAATTAACGTAATATTATTATTTTTTATTTTTTGTTATTTATTTTTATTTTGTTTGATTTGTTGACAAGTCAACGTAATTATATTACTGTCGGTGACAGTAAAATAACTGTAAACACAATAATATTACTGTCAACAACATCAATATTATTATTTTTTTGGGTTTTTTGTTTTCGTTAATTCCGAATAACGCAAAGGAAATCGGAAGCTTCCTTAGACTAGCCGGCTATTACCGCAAATTTGTGAAAGATTTCTCGAAGCTTGCCTCGCCACTCACCCGATTAACTCAAAAAGACGTTAAGTACCAATGGACGCCCGAATGCGACGCCAGTTTCACCGAATTAAAGGCTCGACTCACATCGGCACTAATCCTCGCACTACAAGAGAAAGTCGGAGAATTCATAGTCTACAGTGATGCATCGAAATTAGGTCTGGGCGCCGCCCTTATGCAAAATGGGAAAATCATTGCCTATGCCTCACGTCAACTCAAAGAATACGAACAAAATTATCCAACGCACGACCTCGGATTAGCCGCCGTCATTTTCGCACTCAAGATCTGGCGACACTACCTTTATGTTGAAAAGTGTACCATCTACACCGATCATAAGAATCTGAAATACTTATTCACCCAAAAAGATTTGAATATGAGGCAACGAAAATGGCTCGAACTAGTTAAAGATTACGACTGCGAGATACTCTACCACCCCAGCAAAGCAAATTTGGTTGCTGACGCACTTAGCCGCAAATCGATCAACGCCCTCATAGTCCAACCTAACTTGGGAGAATCGATCAAATCAGCCCAACAAAACAATCCACAAATTCTCAAAATTCGCGATAACCTCGAATCCAGTTCAAACTTTTGAATCACCGAAGAAGGTCTCGTCCGATTCCAAAATCGCATCTACGTCCCCGACGATCCAAATGTTCGCCGACTTATCTTAACCGAAGCTCACCAAACCACGTACACTTGCCATCCTGGAGAAACCAAGATGTATCAAGATCTCAAAAATCTCTACTGGTGGCCTGGAATGAAGAAAGACGTGGCCCGATTCGTCGCTGAATGCCTGGTGTGCCAGCAAGTCAAAGCGGAACATCAAAGGCCCGGAGGTCTACTTCAATCAAACCTAATTCCAGAGTGGAAATGGGAAGCTATCACAATGGACTTCGTGCAAGGATTTCCGAAGACCCAAAGGGGATCCGACGCCATTTGGGTGATCGTTGACCGACTAACCAAAACGGTTCACTTTCTTCCGGTCCGAATGACGTTCAGTTTAGAGAAGCTAGCCGAACTATATGTCCGTGAAATAGTCCAACTTCACGGCGTTCCCGTCTCCATTATTTCCGACCGAGACCCCCGATTTACGTCAAAATTCTGGAAAAGTTTACACGAAACCCTCGGAACGCGATTAAACTTTAGCACCGCCTATCATCCCCAAACCGATGGCCAATCCGAACGAACTATCAAAACCCTAGAAGATCTTCTCCGCGCTTGTATTCTCGACTTTGGAGGAAATTAGGAATCCCGCTTACCACTAATCGAATTCGCATACAACAATAGCTTTCACTCGTCAATTGGAATGGCAACCTACGAAACTCTTTACGGCCGCAAGTGTAGGTCCCCACTCCATTGGGACGGAATTGGCGAAAGAAAATTTCTTGGCCCCAACCTAGTCCAACAAACCGTCGAAATAATCAAAAATATTCGAGAGAAAATGCGAATCGCCCAAGATCGGCAACAAAGCTATGCAAACACTCGAAGGAGAGACCTCGAATTCGAAGTCGGAGACTCCGTATTCTTAAAAGTGGCGCCTTTCAAATGAATTATGCGATTTGGGAAAAAGGAAAAATTAGCACCGCGATTTATTGGTCCATTCGAAATTCTCAACAAAATTGGTACTCGAGCCTACCGCCTAGCCTTACCACCCAATTTATCTAACTTTCACAATGTCTTTCACGTTTCAATGCTTCAGAAATACATTCGCAGTCCAGACCACGTATTGAAAACCGAACCGCTCGAACTAAACCCTAATCTTTCCTACGAAGAGAAACCTTCCCAGATACTTGATTCCAAAACCAAAACCCTTTGAAACCGAAACATAAAATTTGTTAAAATCCTCTGGCAAAATCATACACCCGAAGAAGCCACGTGGGAACGAGAAAAAGAAATGCGCGAACGTTACCCCGAGTTGTTCAGCTAACAATTTTGGGGACAAAATTTCTTTAAGGGGGGGAGATTGTAACACCCCACCTTTCCAAAACCCTAAAACCCGAAATTAATATTCGTACTCGAGAATCCTTAGGTAATATTATTATGTAGTAGTAATTACCAACGGCTCTGCACAAATGTGGACAGCAAAGCTCTGCACAAATGTGGTTACCAAATGCGAGGATTCGAGACAATGTACAACGCCCACATGGGCCGTCAGCTGACAGCCATAATATTCTTGGGCCCCACATATTACCAACGGCTAAAGCACATGGTCGACGACAAGATCCACTCGAGGGGCCGAGGCCCCGTCCAGATCCTGACCCGACAACCCGCGGAAGGAAGATCCAGAGACGGTGGTTTGAGATTCGGAGAAATGGAGCGCGATTGCATGATAACTCATGGAGCCGCGCATTTCTTGAAAGAGAGGTTGTTCGACCAGAGCGACGCTTATATGATTCACGCGTGCGAGAATTGCGGTATTCTCGCTATTGCCAATCTGAAGAAGCTTAGCTTCGAATGTAGGAGCTGCAAGAATAACACACACATTGTTCAGGTTCGGAGATTTTAATCGTTTCAAAAGTGAGCCTTTTTTTGTTTTGATTCGTCTCATTTTTTCGGGATAAATTGTGTGAACAGATATACATTCCTTACGCATGCAAGCTTCTGATACAAGAACTCATGTCGATGGCGATTTCACCGAGGCTGCTCACAAAGGGTTTGGAAATATCCAAGGAACAGACAAATTGTTAAGTATTGAGCCCACATAAAATGATCTGGTGTGATCTGGGCCGATAGCTAAATAATTCAAAGCCCAACTCTTTGAAATCGGGCCCAATATTACTTAAGCCCACTGATCCAGTCAACGTAAGATCTGAACCGTTTATTATAGGGCTTCAATCTCAGCCCTCCATTTCCCCATACCTCTTACCCCTCTCAACCCTAGCAGCATTCTTCTGCTGCGCCGTTTCTCTCTCTTCCCTTGTCCCCTTCTCTCTCTACAGTGTTTCGTCACCCCTTGTCGTTTTCCGGCGACACCGTCGCAGGTCTGGCCGGACAATGGGTGTCCTTGCCGTCGCAGCACATTTAATGCTGGAGACCGTTGAAACTCCGTGTATTTATACTGTGGTGAGAGAGAGAGACAAGCGTGATTCGCCTTTTATTCAAACCGTATCATTTCTGGCCTTAATCTTCTTCTGTGAGGGTTTCGGCTTTGTGAGTGCAGATATCTGGGTTTGTGCTGAGTGGAGAGGGTGAGTTATCACCGAGTTGACTGTGCATGTGTTGGTGAGTCAACTCGGAGTGAGGTTTTGGGGTCAAATCTAGGGTTCCGATCAGTGGCAGTAGCTTGGTGCTTGTTTTCGGTTGGTGTTACCACCAGACCTAGGATCGACAGTATGAACACTGGAAAAGGGAATTGAGCCGTTCTTATTCAATATTCTTTTATTGTTTTCAATTCCTTGTGTTTTCTAACTGTGTTTCAGATCTATGGCTGTTTTGGAAAGAACCTGTACCTAACAGTGGTACCAGAGCATCAGTTGGACACTTGTTCTATGCAGACTCGTGCTACGGATTTAACTACTGTGACTCACTCACTCTGTTTCTGGGTAAAATCTTGGAAAACCTGTGGTTGACCTTGTGTGGTCAAAGCTTGCTTCCGCTGTTCTCTTTCTGGGCCAACTCAGGCTACTCGCCACACCAAACTTCCCTTGTCCGGACCGCTTAGTGTCGCAGGAATCTGGGGAAGGGGGGTAGTCTAAGACAGCCCAGCCTTCGACCGGTTACTTTGGTGCTTTCTGGGCCAACTCAGGCTATTTGCCAACACCAAACTTCCTTTGTCCGGACCGCTTAGTGTCGCAGGAATCTGGGGAAGGGGAGTAGTCTGAGAAAGTCCAGTCTTCGACTGGTTACCTTGTTGCCTTCTGCAACACTTGGCTCTCTGTTGGGCCTCCTGGGATCATCTTGTGTGTTTGTGTTTCTTTTCTTGTTGCTGTCTGTGTGCAGCTTGTGTGTTTCTTTTTCTGTTGCTGTCTGTGTGCAGCTTGTGTGTTTCCATCTTTTCTGTTGTTGTCTGTGTGCAGCTTGTGTGCTAGTGTGCCGCTTACTTGTGTCTGAGCCCTTTGTGTTTCTTTTCTGTGTGAAAATGCCTGTGGCTTCTTTTGATGGTAAGGGTGATTTTGCTATATGGAAACAGAAAATGAAAGGTGTGTTAGTTCAACAGAAATGTTTTAAGGCCATAACTCAAACTTATGATGATAAAACCACTAAAGAAATGAAAGATGATCTTGATGAACTTGCTTATTCCCTGATTATTCTGAACTTTTCTGACTCTGTGATTAGAAAGATAGGTAAACTTGATACTGCTAAGGAATTATGGGATAAGTTAGAAGAGCTTTATACTGAAACCTCTTTACCCTCAAAAATGTTTTTACTGGAAAAGTTTTTTAGATTTAAACTTGACTTGCACAAAGATATAGATGAAAATCTTGATGTTTTTACAAAACTTGTGCAAGACATAAAGTTAACTGGGGATAAAAATATTGATGAATATACCCCCATTGTTCTTCTAAATGCTATTCCAGATTGTTACAGTGATGTCAAATCTGCAATTAAGTATGGCAGAGACAAAGTGACTCTGGACACTGTGATAAATGGTTTGAAAAGTAAGGAACTTGATTTGAAAACTACCAAAAGCAGTAAATCTTTGGGTGATGTAAACTTTGTGAAAAACAAGCCTAAAAACAAGTTTTCAAACAAGGCTTCTTCCTCCAGTAACCAAAATTTTCAAAAATCTGATAAGGGTAAAGTAGGGAGTAAGAATAAGCTCAAACATAGGAAGTGTTACAACTGTGGTAAGTCTGGTCATTATGCTAATAGGTGTGCTGAACCTAAGAAAGATAGTAAGTCTAATAATGAACAGGCTAACCAAGTTGCTGAAAACATGGGTGATGTGTTTATGATTACTGATGAGTATCTTAATTTTGTGAATTCTGTGTCTGCATCTTTGACTGATAATGACTGGTTAATGGATTCTGCTTGCTCAAATCATATGACACCTCACAGAAGCATGTTCTCCTCTTATGTTGAATTGAAAATGGCTCTGTGTCCATGGCTGATAGTAGTAAAAGACATGTGCTAGGTATATGAACTGTATGTCTGAAATTTCAATCTGGTTTTGTGCTTAATTTGAAAAATGTGAGACATGTTCCTAAACTGAGTAGCAATTTGATGTCTTGTGCTATCTTGGAGGATTCTGGGTATAAGGGTACTGATGCGATCTCTTGTGTATCATAAGATTTCTTTACTGATCGTAAGAAAACTTTTCTTTATTATTTCTCTGCATAATAAAACCCTAGCACAAGACGACTATTTAAATATAAGAAAACCCTAGAATCCTAATCTAACTAGGAAAGATAATTACCTATACTAATTAAATACTTAATATCTAACCTAACCACTAACTCACGGCCATATATATATTATAAATATACTAATCTAAGTAATTAATAATAAACTACTAACTAAACTAATAATTAAATAATATACTAAATAATATATCGTATCAAACCACCCCTCTTAAAATGAACCTTGTCCTCAAGGTTCTGCCCAATAATCGTCTCTCTTTTTTGTGTTTCCACCTATGCTTGACGCCATCGAATTGCTTTCTGATTGAATCCGAAAAACATGACGAAAAATCGAGCTCTTTTCCGAATATGAGTCCATATGCCCGAAAGAAATTTCTCAATCTCTTTCCCGACAAATCAACCTTCTCAATTGCCTTTTTAAATTTCGTCTCCTTCACAATCATGCTTTTATTTTTCTCAGTCGTCTTTACAGATCCGGCCTCATTCAAAGTCACCAAATCTTGTTCGTCTCCTTTCTTTTGCACATCATGGAAATCTCCCAATATCCATTGTAGTTCTTCGTCCTTTTCCTTAGTTAATTCCTCATCTTCGTCCCAAATTACCTCAAGTGAATCCGATAATTCATCTTTCGGCGAACTCACAAAAAATTGGGGTTCTTCGAAAAAATCGTCGTCGTCCTCTTCCTCTTCCTTTTGCGGTAGGCTTGGCATTGGCGGCGGCGGTGGATCTTCGAAAAAGTCATCGTCGTCCTCTTCCTCTTCCTCCGGGAATAGGCTCGGCAGCGGCATCGGCAGTGGCGGCGGTGGCGTTGGCGGTGATGGGCGGCGGTCCCTCCGACTTTGATGATGGCGTTGACGTCGTCCTTGAGTTTGTTCGAGCAATTTCTGAAAATTAATCCGTAATTGCTCTACGGATTTTTCCAATCGCTCCAACCGTCTTGTTTCTGACATCATATTTTTCACAAAGTTTTGATGTGATCTCAACTTTGCTCCAGCGTAGCTTTGATGTAATCGCTGCCTTGCTAACGAAGCGTTGGTGTTAATCGCAACTTCGCTCTGATACCAATTGATGCGATCTCTTGTGTATCATAAGATTTCTTTACTGATCGTAAGAAAACTTTTCTTTATTATTTCTCTGCATAATAAAACCCTAGCACAAGACGACTATTTAAATATAAGAAAACCCTAGAATCCTAATCTAACTAGGAAAGATAATTACCTATACTAATTAAATACTTAATATCTAACCTAACCACTAACTCACGGCCATATATATATTATAAATATACTAATCTAAGTAATTAATAATAAACTACTAACTAAACTAATAATTAAATAATATACTAAATAATATATCGTATCAGGTACTTGGGGTGATGGGGTTATGAATATTATGCATGATGGTTTAATTTCTTTCAAAGCTGTTAGAATGCACAATATATATGTTGCATCTGCATTATCTGTTTCACATGTTAATTATGTCCAGCATGACATGACTGATCTTTGGCATAGAAGATTAGGTCACATCAGTAGTAAGGGACTAGGAATCTTGCATAAAAACAAGTATCTGAGTGATGACATTGTTGTTGATATGCCTTTGTGTGATTCATGTGTTATGGGTAAACAGTCTAAAGTGAAATTCCATAAATCCCCTTTCCCTAATACTTCTAAGTGCACAGAAATCCTTGAATATGTTCATGCAGATGTTTGGGGTCCTGCACCTGTCTCCACACCTGGTGGAAACAGATATTTCTTGTCTGTTGTTGATGATTTTTCAAGAAAAGTGTTTGTTTTCTTACTTGTGCAAAAGTCTGATGTTTTTGATAAGTTCAAATCTTGGAAAACCTTTATTGAAAATCAAACAAACAAGAAACTTAGAACCCTTAGAACTGATAATGGCACTGAATTTTGCAATCATGAATTTGATTCTCTGTGTGCTGAATTTGGCATTAGAAGACATTGGACTGTTGCATATACCACTCAACAGAATGGCATAGCTGAAAGAATGAATAGGACATTAATGGATAGGGTTAGATCCATGTTGCATGCATCTGGTTTGCCAAAAGTTTTTTGGGGTGAAGCTGTCTTAACAGCTGCTTATGTGATTAACAGATCTCCATCTGTGCCTTTGTCTGGTAATTTGCCTGAAACTATGTGGACTGGGAAACCAGCTGATTTGTCTAATTTGAGAGTTTTTGGCTGTTCTGCTTTTGTGCACCATAAAACTGATAAATTAGAACCTACGTCCTTAAAATGTGTTTTTATTGGATATCCTGAAGGGGTTAAAGGATATAGATGTTGGCTAAAGAATGAACATGGTTTTAAAACTATCATTAGTAGAAATGTTGTTTTCAATGAGAATGAATATCCTTGTTTGCCTGTGCCTTCA